ACACACACACACACACACACACACACGGCACACACGCACACACAAACACACACACACACACATACACAGACACACACACACACGCACATACACACACACACACACACACACACACACACACAAACCTAAATTGAAGACAAAGAAGAAGAAATCTCCCTCTCTCTCTCTCTCTGGCACACACTTTCTTTATGAAGTTGTCTAAGTTGTCTATTGCGAATATGAATATGACAACACACACCCACATCCACGCACACTGACCGCCGTTTGAGCCGCTGAAAGGTAGAGGCTTGAGATGCTGATGCACGGCTAGAGACTCAAAGAAGCAGAAGACCAGCTATGGCTAGCAGGAGACCTCCAGGATGCGGCGGCAAGTGAGTGGTCTCATCCGCCTCACCTCCTCTCTCCCCAACCTCCCAACTGTCGTCCCATCTCCTCTACCACTGCTCCTCAACCCTACCTCTCTCCCCTCTTCTCCCACCACCACTGCCCACATTCTTCTCCCCTCCTTTGGGCACTGTGGGGAAGACAGGGCTGCCCACAATGCCACCACAGTGAGAATGAGAAGAATGTGGGAAGCCAACTCTTTTGTTCGGCACCGGCATTAGGAACGCCAGCTTCAACGTTCGGTGGGCCCTGGCACTGCACACTGGGGACGGCCCCAGTAGCAGCCACTACGCCGAAACCGGGGTCTTTATGGGTGTGGGGGCCGACGCAAAAGAGTGAGGCAGGCGGACCACCCACCGACCTGTGAAACGGTCGGCAGGTCAGCAGCCGAGCAACCTGGGGCCACCGACCGTCGGCCGTGCGACTCTGGTTGAGTATGTATTGACCGTAAGTTTACTCTATTTAATCCAGGTATGTCATCACACTTTTTAATGCACCGCATTGTCCTTATGTCTATTTCCGGAACTTTTTCTGCCCCTTGCTTTGTGTTGCCGGACCAAGGGTGGAGTCGGCAATTCCTTTGTCCTGGTGGCATCAGATTGACCTCCAGGCTGATACCACCAACAGCGGAAAACGCTTCTTCTCTCCATTCCTCCGCCTTCCTTTTCACCCCAAAGGAGAAGTATAGGGGCAGACTCAGTCGAGGCCCTCGGCACTTCTTTTCTTTTTTACATCTGCTAAGATTATCTGACCTAGTGAATGGCATCCTTGTTTTCTTGAAACTTTAACTCAAATTTTAAGAAATCCGTTTTTTCTTTCTTATTTTTTGTGCATGAGGGGTAGCCTTTGGGGTGGTTGTGCCCAACAGGGTTTGAACTGGTGTCCTCTCCTGATGTGGTGGTTATCAGTTACTAGATGAATAGGTATGTGCTATGGTCATTGCAAGTTTATAGTAACTTTATAGGCATGTACTATGTGGTGTGTGCTGTGGTTGTGGTATGCACTATGGTCATTGTGAGTTTATAGGTATGTACAATGTGGTTTGTGCTATGGTTGTGGTATGTGCTATGGTCATTGTGAGGTGACAGGTAAGTACTATGTGGTATGTGCTAATGTTACTATGAGTTAGGTATGTACTATGTGGTATGTGCTATGTACTATAGGTATGTACTACATATGTACTATGTATGTACTATGTACGTAC